TGAAGTAAAGTTGTTAGGAACGAATGCTATTTGGAGTGGATGAAACAAACTTTGTTGACCAGTAATCATTTGCACGTTGAAAGCAATCTGGTGGCTTTTTGAATACATTATCAGGATCAGGATTCCATGTTTTCTCTTCATTTTTGTCGACGATTTCATCGAACAGCTGCACGTATATATTACCCGCACTGTTCAACTATAAAAATATGATCAACTTCGAATCGAATCAATTGGTTAGACTTTACTTGAAAGAGAAGAAACGACTTCGGATTAATTGTATTTGGCACAACAGTTAGATCTCGTGTGGGTACATCGAAATAGATTGATTGTGCTAATAACAATTCTTTCTTCGTATGACTAGCATTGCTTGTCGAATAGATTCGAGTATTTGATATAGGACAGACTTCCCATGAAGGACTCGTTTGCGTTAGACGACGATGTTCATCAGTGCCATATTCAAGAATATTTGTATTAAACTGATCGTTGATCATAATTAGATGTTGATTATTCCACTGCGTTTGAGTGAACGATGTGGGCGGACGTAATAATTCATGATGAGAATGAATTGCCTTTTTCAAAGAAGAAGAAGAAGAAGAATAACAATCATATTTTGACAATTATAATTGTTTCCTTACAGATCGATTGGGCATTCGCGAATCGATGATGACTAACGAATAGTCCGTAGTAAAAACATGTTGATAGGGATTCACTAAACTCGTTTTATAACCACGAATGACTTCTGTTTCACCTAGATATGGATGATTAGTTCCCATTTTGAATAGTTCTTTGTATGATTCATTTCGTACACGTATATCGTATAGAATACACGAACTTTGATGATTATCAGCAATTGTGTACAGAAATGGTGATGCATCCCAATCGAGAAATATCTGTCGAGGAATGTGTGAAGAAGCAAGTTTTTCATCTGTTAACTGATGGAGATAAGTGAATGTATCGTCATTGAAAAGATAAGTTCGATAATTCTTGTCAATACAAATTGCATTCGACGAAATATATGGATTGAATGTTAATGCAAGTATCGATGTATGATCCGACGTTTCAATATAAGAAGCCACCGAAGAATTGCTAGTTGTTGTATTGTATGAATAAAGTGCCAAACCATTCTAAAGAAATATATATAGAGAAAAATAATAGCTTTATCTCTATTCAAATAGTCTGAGTATACGTGATTTGCAACGGCAATGTTTAATAACTGTTCATTTTCGACAAAACAATCTAGTAGTTTGATTGAACTCGATGTTTCTATGACATGTCTTCGTTGTGGAGTATTAGATAAATGATCAGTAGTGTTCGACCAAAGTTCATCATAGATATGATCTGATAATGATTGAATATCTGAGAAGAAACGAATGATTGGAAGATTATCAGAGGAGGAAGATTTTCTTTACTGAGTTGGTTCTTTTTTGTAACATAGATCAGATGATTCTGTTTGGCAATTAGACGAATGGAATTGTTTTTATATTTCTACAAAAAACGAACGTTTCGTTAAATGTTCACGAGTAATATCAATGTACTCATTCGCATTTACTGTTGACAATGTATATTTATTCATATGAGTCAAATCTTCCATTGCAACTACAAGAAAGGAGTATATTTGTAATCATAGCGAAGAAAAACAATATACCCGAATATGTAAATGGTGGTGCTGTTGCTCGAAGAGTAGGTGCGTGAGTAGAGGGAGCGATTTTCTGCATCACAAACTTCCGATTAATCGAGAAATCCTACACATCAGAACAAACTTTCGCGATACAAATAAGGTTTTATGCTAAAAATGACTAACCATAGTAGTGACAGGCCATTGATCTAGTAGAATCTCGTGTGGTTGGTCATCGAATGTTAAACATTCAGGATAGAGAAGATCGGGAAATTCTAAATTTGATGCCATTTCGTTTTATTTCTAGAAGTAAAGACGGTTGTAGTAATACAAGTCTGTCTGCCATCTTTATTGGATAGCATTATACCAATAAAAAATTTGACATATTATCTATGGAGATTTTAATAAGAATACTGATTGGAGAACTGAACCAATCCAATCGCTAATCTGAAAAGAATCTATGCATGTTGGATTGATATTATTTCTGATGTAAAAAGTCAAATATGACTAGTTCGAAAGCATGTCGTTCGTCTACAAGTCTTGAACAACCATATGGAAATATCTCAACACGATGTACACCTGGTTGGCATCGGCGTCCATTACCAAAACTGGCTATTCCATTCAATTCTGATCATGGCAAACGATTGTTTCGCGAAGCACTTCTCACTGATGGTTTACATGGATATTTTAGCCTAGCCGAGACATTTCATACACAAGCTGAACCATCCTACTGTGGTCCTGGCACACTTTGCATGGGTTTGTTCTACTGATTTTTCTCAATAAAATCATCAGTCCTACTCTACTATAGTATTGAACAGTTTAAATATTGATCCAGGCACAATCTGGAAGGGTAATTGGCGTTACTTCGATGAACATACACTTCGTACATGTGACAAACGCAAACCAAAAGAGAATCCGCTAGAAAATGTTTTAGAACAAGGCATTACATTTGAAGAATTCCTTTATCTTGCTGAATGCAATGGTGCATCGATTATTCCATACCTTGCTTCGAATACAACACTTGCACACTTCCGTTCAGCTATATTAGCTGCTTGTACACGTCGTTTAGATGATGTTCGTCTTGTATGTAGTTACAATCGAAGCGTTCTGGAACAGACAGGTACAGGACATTTCTCACCGATTGCTGGATATCACTCCGAAGAAGATTTGGTTCTAATTCTCGACGTTGCAAGATTTAAATATCCATCACATTGGATACCAGCTGAGTTACTTTGGCAGTCAATGTGTACAATTGATTCCGCAACAAATAAATCTCGTGGATTTTACCTAGTTGCAAAATGGCCACGTGATTTCTCGACGCAATGTGGTGTAAATAATTGTGAAGACGATAATGGGCAAAATTTAGCAATCGAGAAAATATTTTGTTCGTCCGAAGAAACTCTGTCATTATTCATCGAAAATCATCTTCATCCGCTCGCTAATTCGAACTTATCATTCGAGTCATTAGTTATTACAGTTCTACAAGCATTGCCACCAGTCGTTATACAACAAACGACAAAATGGACGTTTGATGTCATGCAAAAGTATCGCTTAGATGCAATTTCCAAGTCCAAATGCGATCAAGAATGCCAGTGCGTGAATATTTTTCAATCCTATCCATCATTTTTACCAGAAAATGTCAGTGAGAATTTCGTTGTTGACGATGCCGATTGCCGAAAGCCGTGTGCTCGTGTCACTCGTTCACATGTGCATGCGTATGCCATGCCGACCCGATGTGCTCTCGCCCCTTTTGTCGAACTATTTCAGATCGAGAGTAATCGAAAATTATATGAAAAATTCGAACAGATGAATATCGAACAACACTTAACTTTGACAGAAAATAAACCGATGTACTTATTCGGTGGTTTGTCATCGATGGTTGATGATAATGGCATGACGAAAAGAATTGAATGCGGATTAACTACGATCTTTTTCTATGCACTTCGGACAGAGACGTTCCTTTCGATTGTTGATTTATTCGATTCAAGTAATGTGTCAAACGAACTGAAAGATGAAATTAATTATGCTAAAGCTTGTTTTGGATTGTAAAACTTGATTTTTCCAATAAATATGTTTTCGGTTTGAGAATCTATGATGATATTGACGACATCTATGTTTGTCTCAGAGTGCGAACGTCAAAACAGAGGTATTTCTATCTTAACAACATTTTGTATGTCAGTGCAGTTTGTGTGTACGTATGAATTGCCTGATAGAATTTTCTTCAGTGTTTTCTTAGAAGATATAAAATCAAAACTCAAACTCATCTGTTATGACCTTTTAGATGGCTAACAAACCGAGCGCCCCAGTTATGAATCCTATTGAACAATCAGGAACTGATTATCTTCAAATGCATCGCATATATGATCTTTTTCATAATCTATCCGCATCTTTAGTTTATAATAAACCAGGTAATGGAAAAAGACACACATTGTTCTCGTAATCATTACTTCATATTGCAATTTTTTGTCAAAATTGATTAGAGGATCCAAAAGCATTCATGATAAACTATCTTGAACAATTGAAAAAAGCTCGATTAGCCGGTCTGGCTTCCCCGTCTCTGGTCGATGACAAAGACCTAACGTCTATTTTCCGTATGTTGGATCCTGCAGGCCATGGGCACATCACATATTCACAATATGCCTCTAGTAAGTTCCCTTCTCTTTTCAAATTCATTGATCTGACGTAAACGTTCGTTTCTCAAGCCATGGAAGCTCTTGGTGTACCTACGTATAACACATCACCGGCTGGAAAAGACAATGATCGTATTACATTCGAGACATTTTCACAAGAAGCGTAAGACTAATGCCAAATTTTGAAAAGATCTCTTCGACGAGTGTTTTGTTTTCTAGACGAAAACGGCTAAACGAATTGAATGCTACATATCATTAACGATTTACATTTGATTGCTCATATAATTTTCTCTCTCTTTTCTTTCCATAATAATTAATGTGTTCCATGCAAAAGATATCTTTGGTTTCGAGCAAATATGATCTTGAGTATAATTTCATTCGAAATGACGAAACAAAACAAAAGCGAGCACCCGTAGTAATCGAGTAATTCCATCTTTTTTGCTATTCTTTGTTTGTCTGTTACCAATAATAACAAATTTCATCAATACTTTGACTTCAGTACAGTTCACGGATGAATGTTGAAATCGAAGAATAAACATGATTGGTAATTATCAAATGTCAAATAACAAATCAAGCCATACAAATTTGTGTTCTTTCTCTATGAGAAACATTTCAAGGAGAGGATTGATATTAGTTGAAATAAATAATAACCAAGCTGATTCGTCTCTCTCTCTTCCTCTCTCTCTTCGTTAACATTTTCAGTTTTATGCTCTTCGTAATAAGTAGCGTTTAATTACGTAATTCAACAGAGAGAAATGATCGACTATGAGTTTTATTACGAGCAATATCGTCGGGAGCCGAGAAGGTCAACGGCTACTCAAAAAGATCTATTAGATTATCATTCAGCTATTTCAACTGCCACTTCCAATAATTGGTCACAACCTGTCAAACGATCGCTTGCTACAACATGTATTGATGGCAGTAAACTACCAAGTACATATGAGAATCCTTATCAAGTTAAAGATTCGTTTCCGAAAGGGAAGTTTCGACGAAAACCGCTCGTCGCATACGAAAAGAAATCGCGAGAAGCAACATCAATCATCGATAGTAGACCAGTTGCATCTGAAAAAAGCCGAACATCGTTGTCAATGACTCCAAATCGGCCTGATATGACGCAATCGAAGAGTACACCCAGTCGAATTTCTAGTGCTTTTGTGTATGACGAGAAGGATAGCACTGCGAAGCTTTATGGACGCCGTGCAACGGCACATGCGAACGGTTGGGTACGTCGATATAAATCAGTGAATCAGTCCCATGTAATAACGAATTTCCTACACGATTTGGAACGACATCAGAAACATTTTTTCCGAAAGCGAACGTGTCAACCGCAACCATCACCGTTCTCACCTTCATCGTCCGCGTCATCGTTCGATCTGGACCTTCTGCTGAATAAACGTAGACGAAAGAAATGTTAACAGTGTCAAGTAGTAAAAAGACGAACTAGACACGTGGAACAAAACATCGGATTGCTTTTTTTCTCATCTTTTGAAGATAAAGAACACGCTTCTCTATATGCTTTGAAATACACACACAGCTCGTATGTATCTAAGTCTCGTACTTCTTCATCGAACCGTCTGAGCAACAATGACCTCTATCGCCTGTTTGTATAAGATTGTTAGTAAATATAAAGAAAGAAAACAGGGATATATAGTAGTCATTCTATAAATAGTATTATTTTTCATAAGAGTGCATTCAATGACTAGTCAAAAAGTTTATCGAATTCTTGCATTCGGAGACAGCATCACTGAAGTATGATTTTGCGACATATTCAGCAAACACATTGGATGTTGTTTTTCGACTGCTCTAGGGTTTTCATTTTGCTGGATTTCGTTTCCATCCGTACACGATTAAACTGGCAGAATTGATCCGAAATCATTGTGAATGGACGTATAACGGTTCTTCCGATCGCCCACAAATCGAAGTAAACCGACTACTTAAAAGTTTCTTTTCATTCTTCAAATTCAGGTTAGAGTATGTGGCCGAAGTAATGAGTGTGTACTTGGTGGTATGATTGATCGTCTGCGCAAAACTCTGTCCGATGCCGTCGAAGAAGGCCACTATTATCGTTGGATCATCATCTTAGGTGGTATTCATGATTTGGGCTTAGGTGTAAAACCTGACATGATTTTCGACGGATTAAAACAGATGTATAACATGGCATATGAACACGGTGCAAATCTGGTGATAATGACTATTAATGAAACAGGTCGTTTGAAAACAAATGATCCTCGTGATCTCGATCGGCATACATTGAACACATTGATCAAGAAATATGCATGGGAAAATCACTATGCTGGTGGACGGCGAACTTTCTGTGTAGATATTAATGAAGCTATTCCATGGCACCGGCCAGATTTAGATCAAAAGAAAATACTATGGGATGATCACATGCATTTGACACCCAAAGGTTACGATTTGATTGGTACACTGATATTTCAAACCATTGTCGATCATCTGAATCTAAGAGATATTTAAAACGAAAGAAAATTTCATCCGAAACTCCTTGCTCAGTCTTTCGTCGTCTTCTTTTTTCTTTTTTTATACCAATGCAGGTGGATAGAGAACCGTCTGTCTAATTTTATCATTCGTACATAATCTCGCATTCTCTTTTTTTCATATTCTCCTCGTGTTATTGAAATGTAGATGAAAAATACAGGACTTCTTCTTTGTTAAGTTATTGTAGATTAATAAAATTATTTTGCGAACATATTAGATAGACGCTTTTTTCTGATTAAATGTGTTGAATATTCATTTTATTTTTAAAATAAACAGACTATAGTTGTTTGCGAAAAATATGTCACGATGTGTGACAAGGTCTTGTTTTCTGCGGAAAATCGAATGTACCTAAATATACATTCAGACGGTAGGCAACTGCTGTTATTTTTGCAACGCGCCAAGAAATGTCGCGAAAAGGCGCTCAGGTCCCTTTTTACTATGCACACCAACGAAATAAAATTTATATAGAGAATTTCTGCGTAACAATGAACGAGCTTTCAGATTACCGAAATTAATATTAATGAAATCTGTTTGTCAACGCCTGAACGATACTCGTTTTTCTGTTATTAGTCAAAAAATTTCATTGAATAGCCTCGTGTGAGTTCTATGAAAAGGCACATTGATCGACATGTGACGTGAGCGTTGCCCGATGCATGTTGTCGACACGTATGCACGCATCTGATTAAAATCAAGCGACATAAACAACAAATCTGGGAATAAAAAAGCAACTTTATTTTGACATATGGTTCGATCTTGAAATAACTTTTAATCGGCAAAAATCAATGGATCGACCAGAATCTTGAAAGTCAAATATGCACAAGAGAAGTCTGTATGTTTTCAAAACGACATTTCCGCTACTTTTCGCATGTTCGCCATTAATTATTGAAGAGGTTCTATGTTTATATAAATCGATGTTGCAAATAAGTACTTTCATATTTGTCTTCTTCTACAAAAATGTTAGCTTTGGTGCTGGTCGCCTTTATTACCATGCTAAGCATGAGTATCATTTGTCGTAAAGTAAGTCAATGACATACTAGTAGTTTAGCCAAATGCTCGACGTTCGTTTACTTAGAAACGCATTTTCGATGAAAACAGCGAGTCAAAGTTGACCGTACCTTGGGGACCTCGTCCTTGGCCTGTTATTGGTAATCTCCTTCAATTAGGTTATCGTCCGTACGAAACATTGTACCGCTGGTCGAAAATGACAAAATATGGACCAATATTTCGCCTTCGCCTCGGCTCACAAACGGTTGTTGTGCTGAATTCATCACCGATCATTCGCGAGGCCTTACATGATCATAGTGAAATATTTGCTGGCCGACCGTATCTTCATATGATTCATGAAACATTACATGGCAAAGGCGTTATATCGGCTCCATATGGCCGAGAATTCAATGACCACAAGAATTTTCTTATTAAAAATTTCAATCGATTTGGTCGTCGGCGACGATCATCTCTAGAAAATGGATGCCTGGATGAAGTGCGCTTTGTTGCCGAGCAAATTCGAGAACATCAATCGTCACCGTTTCTTGTCGGTAATATGTTGAGTCAAATATCATGTAATAATATTTGCACATTAACATTTGGCCGATACTTTGAAACGATGAACATGAATCATTTATTTGAAAAAATCAATGAAAATTTCAATCAAACAGCAACAATAGCCTGCTTCAATTTCTTGCCATTTACACGACGATTTCGCAAGAATATCTTCGAGAATGTCAACGATTGTAACCGTGTCATACAGAAGTTGGTTGGCGAACGCGAAACCAATTTTGATAATGAATTTGTTACCAATATCGTGGATGCTTATTTGGATGAAATGAACCAACATCGACAACGAAGCGCGCACTTCTCCAAAGAAAATCTCGATTCACTTGTTCAAGATTTATTTGTGGCTGGAACAGAAACTGTATCAAATACATTAAACTGGGCAATATTTTATATTGTTGCGCATCCACACGTGCAACAGAATATTCACGAAGAAATCGATCGAGTGATTGGCAAGGATCGACCACCATGTGAGAAAGATCGTTCGCGAATGTCTTATGTTGAAGCTGTCTTACTCGAATCGATGCGTTGCCATTGTGCTGGACCTATTCTGCTGCCACGAGCCACCACTCAAGATATAACATTTCACGGTTATTTCATTCCAAAAGATACATTCATTCTGGTAAACATGTGGTCAGCAATGAAGGATGAGAAGAATTGGACCGAACCCGAGATGTTCAAACCAGAACGATTCTTGGATGAAAATCGATCTTTACGAAATGTTAACAATCCAGCGATGATGCCGTTTAGTGTTGGTAAACGTGCATGCACAGGTAAATGTCTTTGTGAAATATTGATCATTTATTTTGTGAAACTCGCTTTCTAGGTGAACAAATCGCCAAAATTCAATTATTTTTGATTCTTGTCAGTTTATTTCAAAAGTTTGAATTTCAATTTTCAAATGGCTGGACTCCAAAAGATCTCCGTGGTCAACCTGGCATCACACTTCGTCCACCAAACTGCCAATACGAAGCCTTCGTTCGATAAACTATTCACTCCTACCCCTTAGTATCCCTTCACTAAGTCCTAGTTTTCTGTTTATATTTTGCAGAAAGTCAAATTCAAATGAATAAATGCATAGATAAAACGTATCCCAGTGAAATCTTTTCGAATGAATCAATAAAGCAATGCTTTTGCGATATTTTATTGAATACGGTGTTAGGAGAGACAAAATAGAGAGAGAGAGAAAGACAAATGTGCCAAATTACACTAAAGAATATGAAATAACAGGTAGAACAAACGAACGGGTATGTTGTTTGGACAGTTGACAAGTCTAATACATATATATGTCTGCTGTTTAATCTTCTTCAAAAAAAGAGTTCGGAAAAGAAAAAGAGAACTGATAATCGCTACTAAAAAAGCTGGCACACGTTCCATCATTGTTCGCCGATTTATGCTTTGAATGAACCAACAAAATTTTGAACAATTTCTTTAAGTTTAGCATCCGTTTCAGGGGTGATTTCGTTCTTTGAACGGACTGAATCAAGAATATCTTTATGTTGTCCTTTCAAGTGTTGTAAGAATGCTTGTTCAAATTTAGTGATTTTGGATGGATCAAGTTTATCCAAATGACCACGAACACCAGCATAGATGACACATACTTGTTCTTCGATGGCCATGGGCACTGAAAATCAGCGAAGATGTTAATTACGTTTAATATCAACAATGCAATGTAGTACTAACCATATTGGCCTTGTTTAAGTAATTCAGTTAGACGAACACCACGGTTAAGTAGAGACTGGGTAGCAGCATCAAGATCCGAACCGAATTGGGCGAAAGCTGCGACTTCGCGGTACTGAGCCAATTCAAGTTTCATTTTACCTGAAACCTACATCGACGAAAAACAACGGTTCATTTGAATATCTATCAAAAACTATGTCGTTATACGTACTTGTTTCATAGCCTTGGTTTGAGCAGCACTACCGACACGTGAGACTGATAAACCTACGTTAATGGCTGGTCGAATACCTTTGTAAAACAATTCAGTTTCCAAAAAGATTTGACCGTCAGTAATTGAAATGACATTAGTTGGGATATAAGCAGAGACATCACCTAGAAGAACATGGAGATTGTCTTTCTCATTTTATCATCAGACATGTGCTCGTATTTACCAGCTTGTGTTTCAATAATGGGTAAAGCTGTCAGAGAACCACCACCGTGACTATCATTCATTTTGGCAGCACGTTCGAGAAGACGACTGTGTAGGTAGAAGACATCACCTGGGTAAGCTTCACGACCGGGTGGACGACGTAACAGAAGTGACATTTGACGATAGGCGACGGCCTGAAAGAAAAGAAGGATAGAGACTTAATAAAAACCAATGTCAAGAGGATTGCTATCGTACTTGTTTCGAAAGATCGTCATAGATGATTAAAGCATGTCGACCTGTGTCGCGAAAATGTTCACCCATAGCACAACCAGAGTATGGTGCTAGATATTGTAAAGGAGCGGCATCTGATGCTGTAGCAGCGACGATAACTGAATATTTCATAGCATCTAAAGAAACAATCGATTAATAATTGAAGTACTCAATAGAAACAAACAAACAAACCAGCGTCAGTAAGACGTTTGACCAATTGTGCGACTGTTGAACGTTTTTGACCAATAGCAACGTAGATACAATAGAGTTTCTTCTTTTCTTCTCCGGCATCATTGAAGCGTTTTTGGTTGATAATTGTATCAATAGCAACAGCTGTTTTACCAGTTTGACGATCGCCGATAATCAATTCTCGTTGACCACGACCAATGGGTACTAAACTGTCGACGGCTTTCATACCTGTTTGCATAGGTTCACGTACGGATATACGTGGAATGATACCGGGTGCTTTAACTCCGACACGAGCTCGTTTTTTCGTATTCAATGGACCCTAAAAACAACCGTTTCGAACGCATCTATCATCGCGAGAACTTACTTTGCCATCAATTGGGTTTCCAAGAGCATCAACGACACGGCCAAGAAGTTCATCACCAATTGGTACGTCGACGATAGCACCTGTTCGCTTGACGATATCGCCTTCTTTGATTAAACGATCGTTACCGAAGACGACAACACCGACGTTGTCCGGTTCCAAGTTAAGAGCCATGCCCTAGCAACCAAATCGACATTTTCGTAACCGACTATTGCAATTATCAACACAAACCTTTAAACCACTAGAAAATTCCACCATCTCTTCGGCTTGAATATTTTTTAAACCATAAACACGAGCGATACCATCACCAATTGTTAACACACGTCCAGTTTCTTCAAGATCTTGTTTAGATTGATGACCAAGAATCTTTTGTTCGAGAATTGACGAGACTTCTGGTGTTGATTGTGCTGATTGAGCAGCTGCAAAACATGTTGTTGATGTCGACATCGGTCGGGATGTTGATGACAATGCCAAAACATTGCTACTTCCAAGATACTACAATAAAACGATAGGCGCGAATGGTGAACAGAAAGCTGACGACGAACGTTACTTTAGCTGATTCTGCACTACGAGCAAGAGCCCGTTGACGAACCAAAGATACCAGAGCTCGTTTCATGTTTTTTATTCAACTATTGTTGTTAGTGGTTATATGTGAATAAAAAAAATAAGCAAAAGAAAAGAGAACTATGTGTACAGAAGGGTTCCACAGTAGAGGCTTCCGCGAAACTTTGATGGAAGCTGAAAAACAAAATCTATTTATTCGAAATAGTTGAGTAATTATATTCTTCTCGAGGATATTCTAAAGTAAATTTGAAATTTTTTCCCGAATATTTTTTTCCCATATCAATCAAACCATCATAGAGGTCACTAAAGTTCTTCCCACAATTGATTGGTTTTATTCATTCATTCAATCATCGAAAATTGTTTAAACTGAAAAAAAAATTCAGTTTAAGTCTTTTGTTAGTTGATTCCATTTTGTCTATGTTAATCTCCACAACTCTTTGCCGGTGTTGATTATTGAACAGTGAACAACACATTGGAAAATGTTTGTATCTACGAATATAAACGATGAGATTTCGAGAGGGTTGTTTTTTCTTAATCTTAGGTCGACTGGAAATACTCTTGAAGAACTTCATCGATTTTTTGAAGATGATCCCGATGATTATCTATTGGAAAGCGAAGCTGAGAGTCGTTTAAAAGCTCTTTATTCATGTCTTGTTGTACGACTAGTTTCACCACTTGCTTTCGCTATTCTCATCTCGTTTCGTTATTAGAATTCAACATCACGGACCATGTTACAAATCGGTTTAAGTGGTTTATTAACTTACGTAAAAGCATCCCAAAGAAGTGCGATTATCGATGAATTGTTATTATCAAAAGATTACATATCCGAGATCATCACTATTGCTGCTGATCATTTTACTACAGTTAGCTAAATAGAACTGATTTCATTTGAAACTATGAAAATTTCCTTTTATTTCAGGCACCATTGTTGTCAGCTACATGTCTCTATGAGTGTATGTTAGCATATCCGAAAAAATTCTCAACATTTCTCATTGTATGAATGTTTTTTTTTCTTCTGATAACAAACCACTGGTGTCATTCGATTTTCATTTAGAACAAATTTCGTCCAGTATTACCTCGTATTATTTACAAAAAGATGTCTGGTCCTAGCGAAGTAAATCAATCGTTCATTCATCGAAAAAATAAGCGCAAAGGATGTTTGGTTGTAGATATCTTGCAAGTGTATTGCGCATTTGTCTGTTCTTGGCATTCCATCGAGTTCGAAACAAGCAAAATCATGGAAAAATGAATATGATCGTTATCTTAAAATCGCGTCTCTTCTCATCGATCAACTTTATTCAGGAATTAACGGTAACGCTCGAATGAGACCGAGCTTTTGTTCAATTGCTTTTCTTTCTCAGATCCACTCTATCCAGAAGTGACCGATCTTGAAACAGCATTGATTGCTGAAGTTGGAGATGTCATTTCATCATCGGATTATGCAGCGATTTTCGTTAACTGTTGTCATATATTGAGATATTTGTTCTTGTATGTATAAATACTATTCAACTGTGGGATTTCTTATTGCCTTTAATGAATATTTTCAGTGTGCAATTGGAATGTTCAGTATCAGTCCCATGTGAACGAACATTTAAGTTAATATCAAAAGTCATTTCAATCACCAGTCAACAATTCGTATGAAGACAAACCTATTCTCTCTTTTCGCTGTATTAACAATTCTTTTTTTTCAGAATGTTCTTCATCGTAAACAACATTTACCGACATTACTCAGTTCTTGTATTCAGTTATGTGATACACTTGTTACATTGTATGATTTGCTTTTCATATCAGTTCGCAATTAGCTTTCACTTTTTTAGTAATCCATCGTCATTTATGTTTAATATTCGATCAATATTTTCATTGATTACTTCATTACTTGATCTTGTACGCCCTCAAGCAGAATACTTGTGAGCGAAAGTTTCGTTTCGGAATGAATTCATTCGTTTGTTTGTTCGTTTTGATTAACAGAACATTATCCACCAGTATTTATCAGTTGTTAACCAATTTATTTGCTTTATTTCAACGGCAAGTTCGCATGGATGTTGATGTTTTACAAAATCTGATTCGTTGGATTCTCAACGATACAACAATCAGAACCCGAACAAGAATACCAGTTGCGTATCTATCCAAACCCGATCACAAACTCTCTCGAGCAGCTATCAATTGTAAGTCAATGGACTGCTTTCTTTCGCATTTTCTTCACTTGTGTTCGATTAGGTACACAACAATTACTCAACGTCTATTCAGATCATATGCCGAAAGATCAGTATATTGTAAGAATTGACTCTCGTTTGTCTTTTTTCGGGGAAACTTGTTTTCGATTGTTTAGCATATTCAAAACCATTTCATTCATACAATTTTGGCTTGTCAAACGACGAATACTGTAATCAATAAACCGTACGATGATGAACTGTGTCGTGTTGGCTTATATGACATTCTCGAATGTTTATTAATCAACGAAAGAGCGGATTGTGCAACTATTATTGGTATCAGCAAAGATATTATTGATAATGCAGCTTTATTAGATTCATCTGTTAAAGTAAGTAGAACAAATGACGTCAAAATAGTGAATTCTATCTATTTCAGGTGAAAATGACTGTACGAAAATTGAAACTTATCTGGCAACAAGTCCACGATTCGTCCAGTCAATTATACCAACCATGGTCGCTTTTAAACATTGACAAACCACGAAGAACGACTTCTGCTCAAAACATTCATTCATCTGTGACAACCAATGATTTTCATAATGTGTTCGCTCCTTCATCCATGCCGATGATTACGAATGTTCAATCTGCATTACCTGTAGTAGCAGCAGTAGCATCGTCATCCATCACGATGCTGAATACAGAACCTTCGCCTTTGAATAATTCTCAATCTCTCTCCAAACCAGCAGTATATAAACCACCTACAGAAACAACACCAAACATATTTTTACAAGCAGCAACAACAACACCGGTTATACCAGTTGCATCTACATCGCATGATATTGGATACAAAGCTCCATCAGCTAACTTTGATACACCAGTAGCAGGTAAATTGAAAACAAACGAACATTGATCATGTATATTATTGCTTTTCTTTAGATGGAAATAAGGAAGAATTTCATCGTGCTGATGAGCGACAAGCAAAACGAATGAAAGTAAACGAAATACATGCTGTAGAAATTGATAATGACGAAGATGATGATGGTGCTGAGCGTAAGATCTCGTCCATTTTTTGATACTCTTACCGAAAGATTTCTTTCAGATATCTTTAATGGAGAAAGCGAGGAGGAGCTTGAGAATGAGCATATGGACGATTATGATGAAGAACTTGTCGAGGAAAGTGAAGAAATGGATGAAAGTGATGAACTTGATGACGATGCCAATATCGATGAAGACGAAGGATCCAACGTAAATTCCGACGAAGATGACGAAAATTACTTTCATACTAATGGCATTAAAAAACCGAATCAACATTTAGGTATGACGAGCTCGTTTGTTTCTTTCGGAATAGTAAAGACAACGAGATGCGATTAATTTTAGGTGTTCATCAATCGAATGTCGATTTACTTGGCATGGATGGTGCACCATCAGATACGTATCTTCAAGCGATGAACGATAACTCCCATAAGAAATTCCGTCGTCAAAATCACCTCGATCACCAATATTCATCTCAACAACCATCATCAACAGACTTTTCGCATACAAATAACAATGCTAATCCAAATCCGATGTATCATTCAGGTCCATTAAATGGTGATTGTAAGGGTACGAATAAAACACCTCTCGACAACGGCCAAACATCATCGGCTAGTGCTGCAAATGCAAGTCAAAACGCGGGCGGTGATGATGATGATGACGATGACGATATTGTATTAGTTAGTGATGATGATAGTGAAGATAAAAAACCAGAAACAAAAACCAATAGTATGCATCTATTTTGAGAATAAACTTCATGAGAATATACTCGCGAATGATTTAGATTTACCTTCTTTGCAACCAATCCCATACATGAGTGATTTGCCTATGACATCATGTGTTGAAACAGTTACCATCAAATCAACAACTACTACGACAATCATAATGAATGAACCTTTGTGTGGAAAGGATCTATGCGACGATATCGATAGAGTACGTATTGGGCTGGTAAAGTATTAGTCTGCAATGAACTATATAGGCGTATTTTCGTAAAAGTCACATCTTAATAAGTTAAGTTGTGGCATTTTCTTTGCTAATGAGTTGAGATAGACGAACGAAAATGTAGAACTTTGATGGAAACTTTTTTCAATACAAGATTCTCTACATCGTTTCTCTCTCCATCAGTAAATTTTCTTTCTGTTCTTTGAAGGAAACCATGGATTCACTTCGTGATGCTGTAAATCTTGTCAGTGATGATTATATGGCATCAACAGACGAACAGAATTAAATCGTGAATTATATTTGTATCTTTTATCATGTGATGTATGAAATCATTTGAAAACATACGTCGTATTAATTCATTCTTTGGTAATGTACATGTGATGATAGTAGGAAACAAAAGAAAACTAACTTCTCTCTCTGTCTCTGCGTGTATTCATGTGTGTTCGTGATAGACCTCTTTTTTCTTTCATGTCTTTAGCCGCTCAGCAGTTGTTCATTTATTGTTGTTGTTGTTCAACTTTGTCACTGTTATTCAATTTTCTGCTTACATTTCTCTCTTTTCCTCTCATATAATCCATCTGCTGCTTTAGCTTCGCTGTCAGATGGATGAGAAACAACGACAATAAAAGAAAAACACCATGCAGATAAACTATTAGAGTGGTTACTTCATCTTCACTTTGTAGATGAAAGCAAAATCAAAACAAAGAGTAAAGAAACATTTCTTCACGCAATAATTTGAGTAAATAATTAACTTGTTTAACGACAGATTTAAAACTAATCATATTTCATTTATTTAATTCAATAGCAATTGTGAAGCCTTTTGAAGTTATAATTCATCATCAGACAAAAGATAGAATGAATGAAGACACATAAACACACACATATGTAAGTAAGAATATATTTTACAAATGTAAAGACCTCTATTCATATTGTCGCAATTTGATCGGAGTAGATCGCATGGGTATTGAAGAGAGAAATTTGTTTTTGAATAGATTTATTCAACAGCAAATCTGTTACTTCTACAGAGGTATTTAGATTTGTAAAATATCTTCGTACTTAGATATGTGTGTGTTTATGTGTTTTCATTTATTCGATCTTTTGTCTGCTGATAAAGTATAACTTCGAAAAGCTACACAATTGCTATTGAATTAAATAAATGAGATATGAATAGTTTTAAATCTGCTGTTAAACAAGTTATTCAATTTACTTAAACTATTGCCTATAAATTTCACTAACTGTTCAGTTGTATGTCTAACAATAAATTACGAGAACTAGTTATCGTGAGTGGTTTTTGAAGAAAAAGGATGCTGCGTATTGAAATCGAAAAGAAGTTATCCTCGAGTGATTTTTTTGTTTTTGGAAATAAAGAAAAACTTCATTTTGAATTCCTTCATCTTTGTTCTCGTTGTTTAAAAAATAAACTAACAAACTTTTTGTAGACAAATTTACTTACATCTGAGAAAGATAACTACTAATTTGATTTATTTCTTTTGATGATATCAATAATCAGATACTTTCACGGATTTCGACGAACAATATCGACTATGAGCACAATCAAGATCGCAACTCATAACGGACATTTTCATTGTGATGAAATATTCGCTTGTTTTCTCTTGAAAAATCTACCTCGATATGCAGATGCAGAAATCATCAGGTTGGTTGAACCAATTGATTCACTTCGTTACTGCAAAAGAAAACCAACTTCAGAACACACGACAGAAACGATATATTTATTGATTTAGAACTCGCGATCCAAAGGTTCTAGCTGAATGTCATACAGTTGTTGATGTTGGTGGTGTATTCGATGCTGAACAAAGACGTTTTGATCATCATCAAAAGTATATCATTCATTGATATGGTTTTCTCATTGATTTTCATTTTTATGTCAACAGAACATTTACAGATACGTTTAATTCTCTACGACCGGAGAAACCTTGGACGATCAAACTGTCCAGTGCTGGCCTAGTTTATGTTCATTATGGCAAAGAAATTATACAAGAATTGCTGAAAAAAGAATCTCTGGAAGAACATGAACGAAACCATTTGACAGAAATCTTATTCGATAAAATGTACGAAAATTTCGTGCAAGAAATCGACGCTATTGATAACGGAATTGATATTGGCGAGAATATCAAGTAGGTAACGAATCATCTATTCATCTAAGTTTATGCATTTTCTTGTTATGAAGATATAAAATTAATACAAATCTTAGCGCACGCGTTGGTTTCTTCAATCCTGGCTGGAATGACCCTAATCCGGCCGAGAAGGAAGAAGTGAGTCGATTTAACAAGCTCAAGAAACCAGAAAATAAGTTATTGTACTTTCAGACGGGATTCAAACAAGCGATGCAATTGATTGGTACAGAATTTCTTGATAAATTCCATTATTATATTCGTCAATGGTGGCCAGCAAGAGCTCTACTTGAACAAGCTATTGCTAAACGTTTCGAGGTAAGATCTATTCAGTGATCAGCTACTGATACAGAAATCGATCTTAGATTGATCCATCCGGTTCTATACTTGTTTTCGACCGTTCATTTCCGTGGCGTGAGCATCTGTTTGATATTGAAACTGAACAAAAAGATACTCTTGGCGACACAATTAAATATGTATTGTATCCTGACTTGAACAAAACTTGGCGTATCCAAGCTGTTCCATTGAACAACAAATCATTCGATAATCGTTTGTCATTACCAAAACAATGGCAAGGCTTACGCGATGATGAATTGAGTGCGAAAGCTGACATACCAGGATGTGTGTTCGTGCATGCATCCGGTTTTATTGGTGGTAATCTCACTTATGAAGGTGTTCTAACAATGGCCAGACGTTCTTTGGAAATAGGGAACTCCAACAAGCGTAAGATTCAAGAATGAGTAACACTGTTTTGTTTTCTGAATATCAACTGAAGCGGTGTGAAATATAAGAAGAAGAAGAAAAAACACACTTGACAACAAAAGATGCACGATCACTAAAACATATGAAGAAATATATATCAACATAGAACATAGAAATGTATACTTGTGTACATAAAACAAACAGAGTCACTACGGTCTTTTTCAGCTCCTGTCAAATCTACTATGAATGACTAGATGACGTTCGATTATGCTTTGATGCAAAGTCAACTCTAGTTTTCTTTCTTTTAACTACATACATGAAATCAGAAAAGAAAAACAAACACCGGCTAAGAACTAAGTAAGCGATTGTTCAGTTGGTATAGCATATTGGCTTTTATCTACGTTATTGAATCGATTTGTCCGTTTTTGATAGACGTGACGTACGTATGCATGGCATGTAAGCACGAGAAATACCAATGTACCTAATGCGATAATAAATGAGATCGTGACCCAGCTGATGTACTGTTGTTTGCCTATTGGTTTTTCACGAAATTCAGCCGGAATGTAATTCGTTTGATTAATCATATAGCCAAGTGTCCAACCCACTTTACCTGTTGGGAATTTGTTTGCAAAACTTAACCGTTTTAAATCCTCTCCCTTGAACCCAATGGCATATGTGAGTAGAAGCCATGTGTACCATGCATCAAAACATAAGGCACGCTTATGTACTTCATTATACGATGTCATTGATTCTTGTTCGTATAATGCTGGATAAGGAGTTTCACACTAGACGAAAGCGAGCCGATTGAAAATGAATAGTAATCGATTGATTCAATGTCTTTTTTTCTTACCACACTCAATAAGCGTTGGGATATTTCCTCCGCAGAGAAATCTTTTAATCTATATCGTTCTTTGGCTGTTCCAGGTGACAGTGACATGCCTAAAAGATGCCGAACAAAATTTTCAAGATTTACTTTTGTTGATAGAACTAGTTTTGTTTCATATACCATGAGCTAAATTATTGAATACATAGTAGTAACCCGATAGACCAATAAAATTAATCTTTGATGGTAACATTGGTTGAAATGTATGATCAAACGTGCAGTAATCTTTTTTAAATGAACAATTCACTGTTTTATCATTACGTTTAGCATCGAATAAATTAATCAGACGTTGACGACAAAGACTGGCATTACCCGATCCAACAAATGTTAGTGACGAGATATTGAGATTTGGATTGAACTTTTGCTGTTCATTCAGTGTACATGGTGAGCCGAAGACTTTCGAAATTGGTATAGTATCGTTCGCCCCACGAGCTAAGCATGGATCACGTATAAGAATCCGCGTCGAGGAAGGCAAATAGGTTCGATTAACATTAATAGCCGCATTAACTAGACGAGCACGATAGCGTCTTAACGCTTCGTTTTTGCCCCAACATAAGTAACTATGAGCATAGGGGCTATAAATAGTATCGAATAGTGTTATATTTGTTGTAAATTCATCAGGAATTGGCTCATCGTCGATATTACGTACATCTAGGGAAGAAAAGTAACAGAACGTGCAGAAAATTTTGTTTTGTTTTCTTTCAACTAACATGTAAATGTAACCTGTGTTGACGCACCACCAAGATCAAGTACTCCGACCATGTTTGGATCCAGTTCGTCGGGACTACTAAGCGAATTTAGTAGTTTCTGTTTTTCGTGGCGATGTTTAAATTTTTCTAAGAGGATATTTGTTGTTATCCATCCGTCGATGGCTTCTTCCATTCCAGTCAATATGCGCACCTATTAAAAATCAAATTCAAGGTCATTTTTCATTGATTATACGTCAAACAGTATTGAAAATAGAAGTAGTCATCGAAATTTAATTGATTTTTGCAATGATATGTGTAAAGGATATTTCAATACCCTAATGCTTTTTCATTGAAATAGGAGATTGAAAAGAAAAGGTTCCCTGATGTTTTGCATGTTTCTATTTCGAGCCCTTAATCACAAGAACATGTCCTATCAGGCTCGTCTGAAAGTAATCGAATACAATTTGGATCATTGATTTGTGCATTCGAATCAATTTGAGCAACTTACTTGTCGTGCAGCAACGAATTGAAATGGATATCTGGAAAAAATGTCGCGTATTGTTTCCAAGATTTGACTTGAACGTGTTATATTACGTAAGCGGGAGAGGCGCATGCCAGCAGTAGCACCAAGAAAAATTGGTGAAAACTTATGACGATTCGAAGGAATTTTCGATACAGCTTCTTCTAAACACGGTCGGAAATAATCGTGTAACAGATCGAGATTGTGTTCGAAATCAGATATGGCTTTCAATTTATTCTTTTCGCCCTTCTTCTTCGAATCATCAGTATTAATTGCAGCTAATCCGCAAACGAAATATTCGTTGACAGACGACGTTGTACCTAACCCATCGGATTTGTCTGCTGGCCAGTGATACACAAA